AAAAAAAATATATCTAAGTATAATCCTAATAGACCAAGAAATCTTCCTAATGACAAAAGATTCATTCCAAATTGGGGCTAGTTGTGATGCAAATGCAATACATTTCATGGCCCTCAAGTCCATGGTCTCAAGAATGCAATCATCAGAAGTTATTTTTTGTTTTGATTTCTATTGCAACTTGAAGCATTCCTTGATGACAATAATGGTTATGATCCGTTCAGGTAATCCAAACCAAGGGAAAAAACACTGGGAAAACAAAATATTTTCTCTAATCTAGCAACTCCTACTGAACAACATGTTTGCTGCATATTTATGAGTTGTAGTTCATGGTCGTGGAAAATCCATTATATTATAAAAAAAAATTGTGCATTACTTTGTTTATCTTTAATATCATAAGCATAGAAAATTGCTGAAAATTATTAAAAAAAGTTGGAATAGTACATAGAGAACTTGCAGAAATTCAAGCTGAATTCAGAAGAGGCTGTGGAACAAGGGATATCATTACTGATCTCAAATGGATCTTGGCTGAAATGAGTCCACTTCTTGTGCTGGCTATCTGCTTTGCTGTTACGTGTTTAATTTTCTTGTTGAGAATATACACCACAGAATATGCCCACTTCCGCCCTTCCTGTGTACAGTTCAGACACTAGTTCAGTCCTGCGGCCATTCTCATCCTCTGCTCCCTACGTACTCACTCGCCCCCATGTTTCCCATTTGTCCTCTTGAGTTGCCCCAGTTAATTTCATCCCATAGAGAGAGTTCTCCAAAAGAGTACAGTGCTTGAGGCAGATGTGCTTTTCCAGTTGGCGTTTGGTTTAAATGAGCCTTCAGGGATAGTTTTGGTTTAATGTTATCTCCAAGCAGTAGGTTTGTGTTCTCCATGGCGCCCCCGTCTCCACAAGAAAGGGGGAACATGCTGAGGTGCGCAGCAATCGGCACCGTCTTCCTCAGTCCTGTGTCTCCTCCTCCAGCCCCTCTGCCTTTCTCTTCTGGTTAGGGGTTCCCCCCCGCCCCATGCTGGTTTGTGCCTAGGTGAGATTAGTCTACCTCCAGAGAGTAACACCAGAGCTGCTGACAGCACAGCGCCCCACGTTTCACTCTGGGTTGTTGTCTCACTAGGTCAAAAACAAGAAGCTGGTTGAGCTGCTAAGAAGGAAGGTTCGTCTTGCCCAGCCCTACGCCGGTGTCTTTCTGAAGAGAGATGACAAGTGAGTAGCCTTCCCCCCATCTTCATCCACATTACCCTGGCAGGTAACCCACCAGAGACTCCGCTCTGAGGAGGAGCTTGGACCCTTTGCCCAGAAGAGATCAGGCACCACCTGTTGGGGTCAAGGCCATGAGCCTAACTTGTCCCTTCAGCCTGGGCTGAATTTCGGCTTAGAGCACAAGAGAAGGACCATGCTCTGGGGGGACCAGGGAGGATAACCTGGGGACCCTAAGTACCATGGTGCACTTGTGCATGCCCTTCAGAGAGAAGCTAGCCAGGCCAAACGCTTGGCCCCCAGCAGAAGTCAGTTCTGTTTGCAATTCTGAAGGCCCATTTCCAACAGATTCCGTGGTGGGGGGTTGGGGGAGTTAGAATTGACTCCACCCTGGCCAGTGCTCCTGCCACTCTGACCTTCAGCTGGCCGACACCCACAGGCCACCCAGCACCGAGACAGCTGCTCTTGGTGCTCCATGGTAGCCTGTCAGGACGCCTCTTGTCTCCCCCACTTTTCCCCAATCAACCTTCACAAGCCTTGGCACAGGCACAGACACCCCTGTGTGTTCTGCTCCCCCAGCAATGAGTCTGATGTGGTCGAGAGCCTTGACGAGGTCTACCAAACAGGGACGTTTGTCCAGATCCACGAGATGCAGGACCTCGGGGACAAGCTACGCATGATCGTCATGGGCCACAGGAGGTGAGTGTGCCACTGGGCAGGGTGCTGGCCTGAGGGCTCAAGAAACAGGAAATGGCATTTCAGAGATCTTTGTAGTGATGTGTGGGCCGGCCGCCTCTGTGGACAGTGCGCCCTGCACCACCCACTGTGCTTTCCCTCTGAATTTGGCTCCCAGCCCCTGGCAGCTCCTCCTGGAGGTCTCCAGCTTACTGCTCTTTGATCATTGGTTGCGGAAATATCATGAATGAAAGATCACAGATCGTACTGATTCTCCTTCGGTCGTTCATGACTCCGGGTGGACTCAGCCCTCAGCCTTTCCATTTGCAGCTGCGCGCATGCACCCGGCGGCCTTGCTTGATGGGCTGCGGGTTGCTGGTCAGACCAGTGTCACAGCAGCACAGGAAGTCGCCAGTCCCCTCCGGCCGCACCTCTGAGCATCCAGCGTCCTGCTGAGTGTGGTTCTCCTGGGCCCGTGCAGATACTTGCCTGCAGGCCGTGTGACACACATAGCTTGTCAGCTTGCGGTTTTCACATAACCAAGCGGATTTCCTCCTCAGGTGTCGGGTTAGAAGGGAGGATGGCCAGGCTGTCTCACGCGGGCGTGTCATCAGGAGGGGCAGGTCCCTTACAAACAGCAGGTAGAGAGGCTCAGAGAGGGTGAGGTGGACTGATGCAGCAGCCGCAGCAGTGGGCAGCCCCGCAGATAGTGGGGCAGAGGTGGGGCAGGCTTTCATTTAGTGCCTCATCGAGTCACCGTGAGGCAGGGTTGGCTCCTTGGGACCGAACTACAGACGTGTTTCCCCCTCCTTCACACACAGCACTCATAAGCCCGATTGCATCATTACTGTGTAACTCTGTCAGGTTTAGGGGTGCAGAGGGTGAATGTGCTCATCTGCTAACTGAAAGGTTAGAGGTTCAAGTCCTCTCAGAAGTATCTCAGGGAAAGTGCGGCGACCTGCTTGCCAGAAGTCAGCTTTCGAAACCCTGCGGGCACAGGTCCCCTCTGACACAGGGTCACTGGGGTCAGAGTTAGCGTGGTGGAGGCTGGTTGGTTAATGAGAAATGGCAAGATCAGTGGAGGGTTGAGGTTGATGGAGAAACTAAGGGAGTTTCTTTCCAGGTGAGGTCAGGTTTAGAGTCTTTCACAGAAGAGTTCACGGTCAAGTGCATGTGGAAACTGAACCCGCCTCCACCCTTCTGATGGGGAATTGTGTGTGGTCAGTGCAGTTAGCGGACGTTGGTCCGTTCCCACCGTGTGTTCAGAGTGGAACCTCTCCATAGGAAGGTCAAGGCCTTTCAGAAGCAGATTGCTCGGCCTTCCCCAGGAGCCTCTGGGTGGCTGCCAGCTGCCAGGCCTTCAGGTGAAGGCTGCGTGCTTAGCGTCCATGCCACCTGGGGCTTCTGTGTGTGTGGTTAACGGTTCAAAAGGCCGCTCTGCAGTTGGAGTGTGGACTCGCGTTTCCATCCTTTCTGGCTCCCAGAACTTATTCTTGTCTGTGTGATCCCCCTAGAACACATTGAGGGGAATAGTGGACTGTGTCACACGTTGACTCCTACTGTCCCCCAGACTCTGCTAAGTGGTCATCTTCACACCGCCTCATCTGCTCACATTCGAGTTTCTAAAGTACAAGGGCTTCTCTCTCTCCTGGGAGGATCTGTGTCCCCTTACCACAGTGAAACAACGCTGACCACAGCGAGACACTGCTGAGGGTAGGAACAATAATGACAGCGCTGCCCCAGAACTCTAAGCTGGTAGGTCCTGTTGGTGACCCCTGCTGGGCCCCGAGGCCAACCTCCCTTCTGTGCACACCTGAGCGTGGCAGAAGGCCTGCACCAGCTGGACTCTGAGCTGCGTCCTGGCCATTCCGGGCTAGTCCTGTGCCCCTGCAGCACACACCGTCCTTACCCTTGGATGACAGATCTGAGAGGTTTGAATGCCTTTGGCACCCAGCAGCTGCAGAGGAGGTTGTCCTCACAGAGCCCACACCCCGATGGGGTAGACAGAAGTCACAGGCTGGTTACAGCAGTGAATGGGTCAAGGGGGCTCCCGGCCTGGTTTCTTAGGGCTGATGAAAATGCCACATGAGACGGGTAGGGAACTTGAATGAGCAGACACTTCTTGTCCTGCGGCTCCAGAAGCTGGATCGGCCAGTGACCCCAGCATGGTGTTTCCAAGGAGCCTCTCACAGCGTCCCTCTTCCCCAGCGTCTCTGTGTCTGTTCACTCTTCTCCGTCATCGAGTCGATGCTGCCTCACAGAACCCGCCTTTGGGTTTCTGAGGCTGTATGTTTTTACAGGAGGAGACCATCCAGTGTTCTCCCATGGAGCAGCTGGTGGGTTTGAACTGCCAGCCTGTTAGCTAGCTGCCTGATGTCTTACGTACTACACCACTACAGTCCCCATTCTGCAATTAAGTGCTGACTTTGGTGAAAAATATACGAAACAGAACACAGAGCACGTCGACAGTTCCCAGTTCAGGGCCGTAGGCTGTGGCTCTGCTCGCACAACCTTCTCCACACCCCCAGCGTCGTTTAAGCCCGCTGTCCCTAGGCTGGTCATCTGTCCTGTTGAGCTGCTGTCGTTCAGTTTACCACATACACATAATCCTTTAAAGGGGTAATGCTTAATGCAAACTTCCTTAATGAGGCTAAGCTGTTATTTAATGCACGATGACTTCAGGGATGAGTGTCGAGTCCTTGAGGATTCTATCTCGGGTTATTCTGTTCTTTTTCTAGCTCCTGAGTTCTTAGACTTTGAATCCATAGGTTGCTCCCCTGGGGAAAGGTGCTGCAGTCTCCTCATGTGCAATATACAGCTTCTGAAAACCCGCTGGAGGGTCAGCTCTGAGTCCCTCCTCACGTGGCGGCACACAACAACAACTGTTGTTCTGGTAGAGAAGCCCTGGTAGTGCAGTGTGTTAGGTATTGGGACACCAACCGAAAGGTTGGCAGTTCGAATCTACCAGCTGGTCCACAGGAGAAAGGGGCACTCTCTTCCTAGAAAGGTTCATGGTCTCAGAAGCTTGATGGAGGGATGCTGGGGGGGCCTCAGAAGCTGATTGGATCAGTGGTAACTTTGGTGGCCTTCTCAGGTGTGTCCAGGCAGGACTCCAGTGTGTGTGTTTGTGATACCCACTTTACACGAGGAGACCAGGGAGGGCCTCTAGGAGAAGGTGCCTTGTGATTCTCTGCTGAGAGGAGCTCGACTTGGACGCAGAGACCCAGAGATGGGCCCATGCACGGCCACAGTGACATGGGGACAGGGTCCCAGAAACAGCCACAGTGGTTATGGAAAATTCAGAAGTGGGCCATTGCGCTTAACTTCTGTCTCAGGACGCCCGAGGGCAGAGGCAGGAGTGAGCCCGGCTGGAGTGCAGGAACAGCTGGGCGGTTGCTGGCCTTGGAGCTCCGAGTCAACAGCTCAAGGCCCCAAGGTTGTTGTGCCCAGTGGCATGGGGTTTGGCCCAGACCTCAAACATGGCATCACGGGACGCCTGGCTGGAGGTTGGCACACTGCAGCCCCAGCGCGTTCCCTCCACTCTGTTCCTGCCTTCAGGATTCGCATCAACAGACAGCTGGAGGTGGAGCCCGAGGAGCCAGAGGCCGAGAACAAGCAGAAGGCCCGGAGGAAGCTGAAGCGGGGCAGGAAGGAGGCCGAGGATGACGGGAGTGCCAGGAGCCAGGCGGAGGTGGGGGTGGAGCCAGGCCTGAGCACCCCTCAGGAGGTGCTGATGGTCGAAGTCGAGAATGTCACCCACGAGGACTTCCAGGTCACAGAGGAGATGAAAGTAAGTCAGTGCGGGGGTGACACTCCCTGAACAATCACAAAGTCCCACAGAGCTCTGGTTGCCCCAGTCCTTCTCATCACAGCACAGAGGCCCCGCAGGGAGGGTGCCCTTGTTGAATGACTGGCTTCTAAGGGACCTGGGAACAGAAAGGGAAAGGATGTGGCCGGAGTTGCCTATGGAGGAGGCTGGATTTGAACCCAGACCCAGCTCGGATCAGGTCCACAGCAGAGACTGCCTCTGTGCTGGCCCTTCCCACCCAACCCAGGAGATGGGGACTGCAGCGGAGCTTCCAGATTTCAGACATACTAGGGAGCAAGACTGACTCTCCGCTTCTGAAATTACAGGCCTTGAAAACCCTGTGAACAGGGAGGTGCCCTGATGGCTGTAGCACTCAGAGTGATGCCCTGAGATTGGAATAGTCACAGAGAAACATAGAGGTCTGCGAAGGAGGGGGGGACGCTCAGTGAGATGGGGTGACACAGGGTCTCTGATGGAGAGCTCGAGTGTGGCAGAGATGGTCAGGATAGAGCAGGGTGCAGGTGTCGTTCACAGCGTGGCTGATTCAGGGTTGCGTCAGTGACGCCTACATCAGCGGGTCTGAAGGGAGCTGCCGTGGTTTGGTGAGGAGTTGTGCTGCCAGCCCGAGGCCAGGCGGTCTCACTCCACCAGTGGCTCCGTAGAAAGATGGGCAGCCTCCTCCTGTGCAACGAACAGCCCGACAAGTCCCTTCTGACCTGACAGCCTGTAACGACTGTCTGTGCGGCCCTCTCAGCCATGCCAAGGCTGGGCATGGTGACAGGCCCCTTCCTCGTAGGCCCTGACTGCTGAGATTGTGAAGACCATACGGGACATCATTGCCTTGAACCCACTCTACAGGTCAGCCTCCTGGGTACAGCCTCTGGGCCTTTGCTGAGAGGGACAGCTGTTGACCCTAATCATGGGGCTTTGGCTCCTGGGGGTGCCATGCACTGAATGGGGAAAGAGGAGTAGAAGTCCCCAGCACCCCTGAAGGCAGAAGGCTTGGGGAGGCCTGGCTGTCACAGCATCGTCTCATCCCTTCCAGAGAGTCAGTGCTGCAGGTGATGCAGACAGGCCATCGCGTGGTGGACAACCCCATCTACCTGAGTGACATGGGCGCCGCATTGACTGGAGCCGAGTCCCACGAGCTACAGGATGTCCTGGAAGAGACCAATGTGAGTGCACGTGCCAGGATCCCAGCACGCATGCCAGGCACCTGCCAGCCCCCCAGCGCCTACACGCAGTCCTTGCTGTGACGTGCAGGAGCTCCGTGTGGCTTGGGCCGTCTCTGTATCTGTCCTCCTGGTTGTCTTCACCTGTGTCATGCAAACCCGCAGAGTCCTTGTTGTTGAGGTTGAGTCCTGCCTTGGGCTGTCCCAGCAGCCCTCTCTGAACATCACTGTCCGCTTGTAGCTTGTAGTCTACACTTCTAGAACCCACAGGTGTGACAGTGCTGATGTTTCTGCATCTGTGAGGCTTGGCCTGGAGGCTCTCCAGAGACCCTGCTCACTGACATGGCTCCCGGGGGGCTGCCATCTCCCCCTCACCCCATCACTGGCAGGTGCCAGGCTGTGACCATCCTCTCCCACCGCCTGTTCTCGGCAGATCCTCAACCGACTGTATAAGGCCCTGTCCCTGCTCAAGAAGGAGTTTGAGCTGAGCAAGCTGCAGCAGCGCCTGGGCCGGGAGGTAAGCACAGGCAGCCGGGGCCCTGCGTCACCGTCACACTGCCACCAAGGTGGGAGATGGAAACCAGAGCCCCACGTCCCAGCCCAGGACTCTCCTGTCCCGAGGCAGAAAGATCCATCCTTCCCAGCCTGGGAGCAGCGGTGAGAAGGTCAGGTGCTGGGAAGCAGCAACCCACTCTGGGGTTTGGGGTCCGCCCCATCCTGGGCACGCCTGTGGACTGCGTGTACCTGCAGGTGCTCATGATCACAGACATGCTGGCCAGTAGCTCCCCACTGCAAGGTGCGTCATGCTTTGCTGCACTGCTGAAAACGTGTGGGTCCGTGGTAGCGCAGTGGTAGGAGTCTTGTCTGCGTGTGGGAGGCCCAGGTTCAAGTTCACACCTGTGTCAGCCGCTGTCCAGTCATTGGTACAGGCTTATGTGTTGCTAGGACGCTGAGTAAATTTTAGCAGAGCTGTCAGACTGAGACAGGCTAGGAAGAAAGGCCTGGCGATTGAATCGGAAAAACCAGCTAGTGAAGCTCTCTGGGTCACAGCTGACAGCAGGGATGGCAGGACTGGGAGGCTTCCTCCCATTGTCCACGGGCTGCCCTAAGTGGGGGCCATGCGACAGCAGCTGGTTTGCGGCCTGGTGTGCCTTCCCCCACATCAGGAAGCTCTGGTTCAAAGTGGAAGGAGCAAAAGGCTTTGTGTGCATTCCTCTTCCCCACACTCCCTGGGGCAGCGGGGGCCTGAGACCGGCTGACCGCCCTGTGGGCCAGGCGCCCGCTCCGCCCGCCCTGGGCCTGACCACAGCCCCGCGCCCTGCAGGTGGAGGAGAAGATCAAGCAGACGCACCGCAAGTACCTCCTGCAGGAGCAGCTGAAGATCATCAAGAAGGAGCTGGGCCTGGAGAAGGACGACAAGGACGCCATCGAGGAGAAGTTCCGCGAACGCCTCAAGGACCTGGTGGTCCCCAAGCACGTCATGGAAGTGGTGGACGAGGAGCTGAGCAAGCTGGGCCTGCTGGACAACCACTCCTCCGAGTTCAAGTGAGGGGCGGGGACACCGATCTTGTCATCAGGAGGGTGGGTCCCTCTAGCGCAGGGAGTGTGTGCCTCAGTGTCCTCGTGGAGAAAGGGGCGGTTCAGTGGGCAGAAGTGTGTCTCCCAGCTCAGGAGGCCTGAGGTCTGAATCCAGGGCACGCGCTTGCTCTCCTCTCACTCCCTGAAGGTCCTCATCGCAACCTCTGGAATGTTCTCAGCATCCCTGCTTTTCTTCATCTCTCTCTCCCCTGGCGCTTGTTCCTTTGTGCCTGATTTTTTTTCTCTTCTGTCCCTGAAGTGATGGCCTTAAGTCCCACCCTGCACCGATCCCATCTCGGTAACGTAACAGGTGTTCCCATGTGGCATCACCTCCAGGCATAGCCGGGCCATCAGCTTGATCCTGACTCGCAGACGAGAGCTCCCCTGGAGGGTCTCCAAGTTCATGAATTTTCCTAGAACCAGGTGACCAGTGAGTCAGAACCGCTACCTCTCAGCAGCAGAGCACTTAAACCGCTGTACCACCAGGGTCAGGGCTGCAGAACCCAGCTCAGCTCAGCAGGATGTGTGGTCTTCGTCACCTCTGTGTGGCTGGGCTGTCATCTTGTTAGATGAACACCTCATTGCACAGGGAGGTCATATCAGCTCATATCTCTAAGCCAAGAGATGGTAACAGAGACGTGAACCAGGGCCATCTGGCTCTCGTCCATGAACCAGGGCCATCTGGCTCTCGTCCGTGCTTCAAACAAAAACTACATGCTCTCAAAGCCCCTGCCTGTGCCCTGTCTCCGTTCTGGCTGCTTTGCAAGCCACCCAGAAAACTGCAGTGGCTTCCTGCGGCCTTGTCCTGGGTGACAAAGGGGGAAAATCCTCCCAAACACTCCAGGTCTCTTCCTCTTTAAACAGTCCTGTTCACTGTCGTATCTACCTTCCACCCCCCATTCCAGAGCTCATGTCTCAGAGCCCATTTGGTTCCCTGATCATAGTCCAAACCCTCCAGAAGTCCTCAGTTAGTAATGGTTCTTGGCGGGTGGGCTGGCCCTACGCTTCATTCCCGCAGGGTCCAGGCCTTTCAGAATCAGACCGGGCTTGAGTTGTTGTTTTCCATTGCCTTTAATCACAAGGCCCATTGGTATGACCGGTCGCCTAGGGTTGCCTGTATTGCACACATCCTCTTCCTTACCTGTTTTCTACGTCAGTCTCATTGTTCCTTGGTAACTGAGATCAGCACAGCAGACATGACAGCCGCTCCCTCCCTCCCCTGGCCCGGCGGCAGGAGGAGCCCATCACTTCCCAGTCAGTGCCCTCCTTTAACTTCAGGCACCACTGGAAGCTGGACACCCACTGGGGGTGGAATCTGGCCACTCTGGCCTTGGTTTCTAGCAGTAACGGATCTGTTACCAGAAGAATCAGGGCTTGCTTCGTGGGCACACATGGCTCCGTTGAGGTCTCTGATGTGGTGTTTGCATTGGGGCTAAACTCTGGCTCGTCTTTCACTGCTTTGACTTAACAAAAGCAGGACCAGCCAGCCACATCCTTTATGCTTTCTCATCGTGACAGCTGTAGAAATGTACCCGTTACGGCGTCCCCGAGGTCCTTGATCCCAAGGTGGCGATCCTGGGCATTGTGGCCCCTCCCTTGACAGTGTAGGCTGCCCTCCCTCAGTGCCTGACACCAGGCAGACCTGAGAGCCAGTCTACAAGGCTCCTCCTCACCTTTCTCTCCAGAACCTCTCTCAGTATTCCCACTGTCTTACTTGGGGTTCTCTGCAGAAGCATTTCTCTTTAGAAAATGGCTTCTGATTGAGGAGGTTGACAGGGTCGGGCGGCAAGCTGGAGGGTCAGCATGGGCCCCAGAGCAGGGAGAGCCTTGCCAGAAATCCACTAACAATGTCAGGCGCACATCAGATCCTTCTGACTACAGAGTAGGGGCGAGGCTTGGGTTATGTCCTCCTCTAAGGTGATTGGAGATACATCCCACACAAATCCTGCCTCACGAACGCATAGAAAGGAGCTCTGGTGGCACAGTTAGGTATTTAGCTGCTAACCGAAAGGTCAGCAGTTCAAATCTGCCCACCACTTTGTGGGAGCAAAGCAGGCAGTCTCCTCCTGTGAGACTGTTGTTACTGTTATCTGCCATCAAGTCTCTTGCAATTCATGGCGGCTCTGTGTACAACAGCTCTGAACCCTGCTCTGCCCTGAGCTAACCTTAACTGTCTGACACACCTTCCTCCATTACGCCTGTCACTGAGTCAGTCCATCTCATCTGGGGTCTTCCTCTGCCGTTGCTGTCCCTCCATCCTCCCAAGAATGATGTCCCACTCCAAGGACTAAGGTTACTGCTTCGGAAACTGGATGGAGGCCACCGTGCATCAGTCAACTCGGCAGTGGATTTGGTAACGGAGATTAGGGCTGAGAAGACCCCAGATGAGATGGAGTGACTGGGGTAATGGGGTTTTGGAGTCAGTGAGACTGGTTCAGGACAGGGCAGGTTTCAGAGCCGCTGTACATGGGGTCGCTGTGTAAATGGAAGGTGATTGTATCAGGGCCCTGGGAGCGGTGGCCTAACCAAGCTGACCGCGTGCTAACCGCTCAGGGCCCTGATCCACTGGCACCTGCCGTCCCCTGGCCGCGTTCACAGGCCCAGGGGGGGGGATGCAGCATCTTTGGAGCGTGTCCGCAGTCAGCACTGGGCTCCGCTCACTGGCTCCCTTTTGCTCTGTGGCAGCGTCACTCGTAACTACCTGGACTGGCTGACCTCCATCCCCTGGGGCAAGTACAGCGACGAGAACCTGGACCTGGTGCGGGCCCAGGCCGTGCTGGAGGAGGACCACTACGGCATGGAGGACGTCAAGAAGCGCATCCTGGTGAGCTCACTGGGGCGGTAGCCCCACCCAGAGCAGGGCATGCGGGTTTCTGGTCCACCCAGCCCTGAAGCAGCCTCTGCCCATAGGAGTTCATCGCCGTCAGCCAGCTCCGTGGCTCCACCCAGGGCAAGATCCTCTGCTTCTATGGTCCCCCGGGTGTGGGCAAGACCAGCATCGCCCGCTCCATCGCCCGCGCCCTGAACCGCGAGTACTTCCGCTTCAGTGTCGGGGGCATGACAGACGTGGCTGAGATTAAGGGGCACAGGTAGGCTGGCCATGCTGAGGACATCTGCCCTTGAGGCTGCATCGGCCTCCTGCCAGTTCTGGGATCGGGACTCGAGTCTGTGGTGGTGGTTGTGGTTTCAAGGAGCAGATTATTCATGCTGGAATAAGTTCCTGATGGACCTCAGCATGGTCCTGACCTCAGGCCTGTCTGGGTCCACATACTAAACGTAGGCCATCACCTGACACACTGGCTCCAGCACGTCCCACTAACGTGAAACCCTTTTGGAGTGGAGACCCCAGCCTCGTGTGGGGACCAGGGTGGGCTTAGGTTTCTGGAAGTGCTAGGAGGAGGGCTGGGGTGGGGATCCCCCTGTGAGAGCAGAGGCCCAGCACATGCGTGCGTCTGTCTCCCTGCTCGCCCGGGCAGCCTGGCCGTGGAGGTGTGTTGGGTCTCCTGGGACAGGTGTGAGGTCCATGGGGCATGTGCTGGTCCCCTGGGGTACTGGCCACCATGTGGACAAATGGGAGCTGCTGCCTCGCACAGCCTCTGCTCCCTGGTGTCTGGGTCCCTAGGAGCTTGCTTCTCTTCCCTGCCTTCTGCCTCCCCTGCCCAGACCCCGAGGCTGGAGGGGTGAGCGCCTAGGGGCGCCTGGGGTGAGGCTGGGGGGGCTAGCCTTGGCAAAGAAGGCCAGGAGCTGTCCTCTCCCTAAAGGCATGGGCTGGGGCAGCACAGTGAAGGGATGTGGGCCAAGGTGGCTGGCCAACAAGCGTGGACATGGAGGACCTTGGCTCACATGCCATTTCTGACGTTGGATGCTTCACTGAGAGAACCAAGGTGGGGTGCCAGGAGGGCACTGAGGGCACTCTGTGCTGACGTCCACCTGGGCTCCTGACAAGGACAAGGATGGAACCATAATGATCATAATGAAAGGCTCCCAGGACAGCACTGGGCCTCGGGCCTCATTTGTATCAGCAAGCTGAGCTTGGGCCCCTGCTGAGGGCCAGGGCCTGCATTCTGCTCCCCGTGCCTGCTGTGCCCCTGATTTCTGTTGCCTGAGTAATTCTGGATGAGTTCTGGTGCCAAAGCTCTGCTCTTCAACTCCATCCTGAGGGCAAATGGCAGTGACTCCTGTCACATCTTGTGATGCCACAGGGCCCAGACAGCACAGTCCTGAGCGCCCGCGTGCTGACTCTGGCATGCCCTATCCTACAGACGCACGTACGTGGGGGCCATGCCGGGGAAGATCATCCAGTGTCTGAAGAAGACCAAGACAGAGAACCCCCTGATCCTCATCGACGAGGTGCGGAGCCACCGAAGGGGCAGGGAACCCCCAGTCGTCATAGATGCGAGTGGGATGCTAGTGGGGTACGGGAGGCTGACTGGATGGGAACCCCTGACCTTCAGCAGTGGCAGGTGGGTAGTGCGACGGGGTGGGAAGCCCCGCTTCTCCTCGATGAGAGATGAGGTCCATGTCCTCTGGTCATGCACCATGCTGAGCTGTCTCAGTGATGGAGGGGGGGACCCTTAGTCCCCATGCACCTCCAGGACCTGCCCCTGCCCTCAGGCTGGTGACCTGGCTTGCTGTGTGACCCTGTGCAGCTCTGACCCCACGGCCTGCGGGGTCTGGGCCTGTCTCGTGCGCACTATAATCCTTGCCCACTGCCCCCACAGGTGGACAAGATCGGCCGGGGTTACCAGGGTGACCCCTCCTCGGCTTTGCTTGAGCTGCTGGACCCGGAGCAGAACGCCAACTTCCTGGACCACTACCTGGACGTGCCTGTGGACTTATCCAAGGTGCGGGGGCTGCTGAGGATTCAGGGTGGGGGTCCTCGGAGGCGGGGCAGGCTCAGAACCCTGAGTTCCCACAGGTGCTGTTCATCTGCACAGCCAATGTCACCGACACCATCCCTGAGCCGCTGCGGGACCGCATGGAGATGATCAACGTTTCCGGCTACGTGGCCCAGGAGAAGCTGGCCATCGCTGAGGTGAGGCCCGGCGAGCGCTGCGCAGAGGCCAGGCAGGAGCAGAGGATGGGATGTGTGGAGTGCCCAGTGGCCACAGTCCCCGTGCTGCCTGGGAGCAGCGCCCACCCCCTTGGCACGGACCCCGTATTCTGCTCTCTCCTCTGCTCACAGCATCTCAGGCCTGCCCCTCACCACCTGCTTCCCCGCAGCGCTACCTGGTGCCTCAGGCTCGTGCCCTGTGTGGCCTGGATGAGAGCAAGGCCAGGCTGTCCTCAGACGTGCTGACCCTGCTCATCAAGCAGTACTGCCGGGAGAGCGGCGTCCGCAACCTGCAGAAGCAGGTGGAGAAGGTGAACCAGCCACGCCTGCGCGCCCCTTCCCGTGTCTCTGCTCCTGGCCCCCCATCCCTGCTCCTGACCCCCCGTCCCCTGCTCCTGACCCCCCCCCATCC